TTTGGGGACATCTTTTTTTTTAATTTGCTTAATGGTCGGTTTTGATGACTCACACAGCTTCTGCAATTCTTTAAAATCCGTGGAGAAGTAGAAGCTACTGTACATTCATGCAACATTAATAAATTACATTTTTGGGTAATTAGAAATCTTGCCCTGTTCAGAATAAGTTTGAACAAGATCCTTTTGTAAAAAAATGAAGTTTGTAATATGGAGGTTTTTATGTATACAGTATATGCTGTTCTCTTCGTTTTCTACCAGTCTGTCTGAAGTGTGAGTACCACTTTAAGTTTAGTGGTGTAAGATCTGTGTAAGCATTTGTCTGCACTGAATGAAGAGACTGTGGTATTCAGTAATGTTCATACCTGGAATGTAGCCGTGCCATAGAAAACGTCTGTAAAACATTCTGGAATCATTTGAGGTGAAAAGCACCATCTAAATGCAAAGAATTATATGCTTGCTTTGTAACAGTCTCCTACTGTTCTTTGAATAATCTGAAGTTTAACATACTGTAAGTATTTTGTTAGTTCTGGATTATTAAAACCGGCCTGTACTGTAGGTGAGTAAAGCCAAGTCTATAAAGATACAAAAACATACTAATAAAACTCTCAAATAAACTCTTTTCAGAAAAAAAGAATAAGGTACAAAAAGGGATACAGTATGTACAGACGGAAATATATTTTACACCGCCTTAAAACATATTGTGCTTAATATCAACATTATACAGAATCTGCACCCAGCTCCCTAGACCCAAAAAGTATTCAATAGAAACAAGCAGACTGCCTCCCCATCTCTGTTCTTGCTTAGTCCTTCTGTGTGCAGGTATAGAGAAGCAAGTGTGGGTGAATATATTCACACGGACTGGAGAGGCAATGATGCAGTGGTGGCCCAGCAGATGAACTGCACAACTGTGCACTGTGCGTATGTGCACAGATTACAAAACCAAAAAGTAATATGCTGAGAGATGAAGAGAATATTTTTTAAAAAATTAGAATGGGATAAACGAATGTGGAACATTTCTTATGCATGACGTTCCTGAGTCATAAGATTTTGATCTTTGCTCTCCGAATGCAGCCTGGAGGGAGTACTGAAAAAAATGTTCTGGACAGGGAGACGACTTTCTGAAAGTATACAAAAGTTCTCACACCCTTTGCAGAGTGTGGGATGCCAAAATTCCTGTAAAAAAAACACAAAAGTGTGTGATGCAACTTTGTCAGTTTAATACATACTGACAGTATTTACTGGTATTACTGTAGAAATATGTATATTTAAACAACATGATTTATTGATCTGTTGTATAAAGCCTAATTGTTTATGTTTTGCTGAATCCCTATGACTGCCAGAAACTGTTGTGGTCATATTAATTTCTAAGAAAGCTTTTTTTTTCATATGGCTTCGAATAGCTGGGCTTCAAAGATTCTCTGCCATGACCAGGAATGGCCAGGCTTGCTGAGGATTTGCATGAGCAATTTCTGAGGAGAGCAGCCGAGAAACAGGACTCCGTATGGGATTTTAGAATTGCATCCAGTAAAATCATAAAATATTATCCTGCCCGTACTTTGTTGGTGATGGGGAAATGATTCTGTTGTCAGTGCTCTTTATGTTTGAGGCACCAATAAATTCTTCCTAGGGTTCTTCACAATGGCACACATCTTTCTGGAATGGTTTGGTTCACTTCTAGTCTTCAGCAAATCTCTTGGAGGAACCCTTCCTTGGAAGCTCATGAGATATAAGAATATAAGAACAGTTACAAGTGAGAGGAGGGTAGATTGTTCCTGACTCCCACACCCACTGGGTAAAAAAAAAACCTCCTCTTTCTGGTTTTAATTTACTGTTGAATTGTATTAGTTAAGGTTGTAGTTCATTCAGAATTACAGAAAGGTTAATACAATGTAAACTTTGTTAAAAATCCACCGGAACACAGCAGACGTGCAATGCAAGGATTTTGTCAACATATGATACTAAAACATGAAAGGTCCAGCATTTCAGACTGCAATGACCCCAATTCACATCTAACTTCATGATTCAGATTTATGTATCTTAATGCATCTCTCATGGCATAAATAAATTAAATAATGCATAAATTAGATTATATGTGTATCATCAGTGACACACTTCTGAACATGAGACCCGAAGAAATAAAAATTGCAATGAGCATTTTTTTCAAGCTCACAGACAATTCGGAAATGAAATGAATTCATATTCATATCCATATTAATTTCACTGAGTTGGAGCACAGACTCTATGGGCAGGATTCCAACATGCTTCCACTTATCCAGTAGGTAATATTTTTTTAAATTCCATCCCAGTCCTCAGGCAGGGCAACAGCCAGATCTTATTGAATTGTTACAGTGTTATAATGACGACAGATGCATTATCCTAGAAGAGTCTCTAGTTTCCTGTTGGATTGTAAGCTGTTGCAGGACAGCCCAACAATTCTACAGACTATGTAATATATGTCTTTAAATCTTCCCTTTTGGTACACAGTCAGACTTCTGAAAAACTGAGCCTCTGCTTTTACGTGGAACGGTGACCATTACAGTATCTATTCTTCATCGCGGTTTGCACCATGCCCACTCACAGTGAAGAACTCGTAGTTTTGAGTTAAGCTTGTGGCTCAGGTGACTCAACCTGAAAACGCAGAAGAAGTGCACATGATTGTGTCTCGTCTTTGGTCAT